CAGGTCTCTGGGATGGACTGGCATCTTTCAGAGACTTTGCCTAGATCAGCCATGAGGTGCTGTGTGGGGCCAGGCAGAAGTGGTATTATAGGTCGGTACTGACTTAGGAGTGTGGAGTATATGCTCTACAGGATGTATGCTCTCAACGGGGGCACTTCACCCCCAAGTGGGTGAAATTGTTCCCTGGGGGCAAAAAAAATCTTATTTTTTATGTATAAAGGACAGATATCCATGTGACATATAAACAGATATATAGTTTATCTCTGGTGTCAAAATTTCATGGGGAAAGGTCTAAACTGTCTGTTTATGGGGGCAGTAATAAAATAAATGTTGAGAAGCCCTGCCATGGGTGTTACAAGAGGAGAGAAGCAGCAGTTACACGCAGGCTGTTCAGGGAGCAGTGCCGAGCGATTTTGTGCATTGTCTTGTTTGATCCTCCCCACGGTAGTTGATGGATGAGGAAGCTGCTTTTAAATGGCTTGCCCAGAGCCACACAGTTTGTGGGCAGCACAGCCGAGGTCTGAGGCCAAGTCCCTTTCCCAACCTTGCTCCTCCTGTGAAGCCAGGCTGCAAATCGAAGCCAGGGCAGAGACATCTGCATCGTTCTCTCCACCCCTGGATATTTATTGTGTTGTAGGAGAGCAAGAAAGGAAAATAGACGCCTGACTAACAGCACACATGTTTATGTTATCATGTTGCATCTACTCTGTAATGTGCACATTGGATGTGGGCTTCCTGCAGCAGTCTGCCTTAGCTAGTGGTCGTTTGAAGGGGAGACACTGGCTAGGGGAAGAAAAGGGACCATGGAAAGAAACCATGGCGACCTTTACCTTCTGTGTTTCCTTCCTCTGCTCCCCTCCTGTGGGCTGCACCCCATGAGGCCACACCCAACGCGCTCCAGGTTTCTCATCAGCACATTGAAACTTCCCACTTGGGGTTGGTGAACTCGGGGATACGATGTGGGGAGCACCCATTTAAGATTTTTTTTTTTTTATATTTTTATTTATTTCTAGGAGAGAGAGAGAGAGACAGCGTGAGCAGGGGAGGGTCAGAGAGAGAGGGAGATACAGACTCTGAAATAGGCTCCAGGCTCCGAGCTGGCAGTCAGCACAGAGCCCGACGCGGGGCTCGAACCCACAAACCGTGAGATCATGACCTAAGCGAAAGTCGGACGCTTAACCAACTAAGCCACCCAGGCGCCCCAAGGGGAGCACCCATTTAAAGGCAGCAGATTTCTAACCCGTTACCCTGACATTCTCTGTTGTAGAGCCTATTAGCAGCTCCCGATCAGGTCAAGTTCCAGGTCATTCTGGAAGGTGGAGGGCACTCTACAAGCTGTCTCCCCCATCAACATCCACTCTTCTCCAGGCTGTTTGCGATTCATTGCTGGGTGGATGTGGATACTCTTGTGGGTGAAAATTGTTTTTTAGGTTAACTTTTCTCCTATGTGGAAAAAGTTAGTGGGTCTTACCCAGCCATGAAATGACCAACATTCAGGGACAAGAGGTAAAGGGAAAAGGCAAAGAATGAACGTTTTGAGGTCCTGTCGTATGAAGATAAATGCTTTTAATGGATTATGTCATTTATTCTTTACACAATCTTAATACTGCACCACTTTCCCTTTGAAGGAAATGAAATGCGGAAAAGGTAGATTAAGTGCATACAACTGGCTAAGGTGTCTTCACATCACGCTTTTTGAGGGCGCTCTGGGCCATTCTTGGGGAGCTCTGGCCACACAGCCACCTCAGCAATGGGCACTGCCTGGACCAGGGCAGGGTGTGGAGCACAGCGGTGCTTCTCCTGAGATGGACGGGGGCTGCCACATTCCTGGATATCCAGATCCGCTATGGCATCTCAGGCTGCCTGCCTCCTCCTGGCCCCACAGCCGCAAAGGGGACAGCCTGGCTTCACCTGAAAGGACTGAGGACATCACAGTGTCATGCATAGTGTTTGCGGTAGTAAGGTACCACCGGAAGACAGAAATCTGAAGAAAATTCAGTGAGGTGTGACAGAACTGTGTCTGTTGTAGCAACAAGTCAGGACAGTCAGGAGACCTCCCTGATGCATCCTTAGGCAATTCACTTCCTTTCTCTGGACTCCCAGTTTTTCATCCATAAAAGGAGAGGATTAAGTCGCTGAAATTTTCTCCCCGCAGTTGGTGAAAGGGTCAGCTGAGGGATTTTTTTTCTGTAGTTGGGGAACATTTCTCCTCCCTGGCCCTCACTGAGGACCATGCTTCCATTTGCCTCTAGATCCTCAGGGATGACACTCCAAATAGTTGAAGGTGATTATATTGGGGACATGCCTCAGAATGTCCTGTGTCTGGCTCAGGAAGGAAACATACGTAATAGGAAGCTTTGTGCTATCAAATCTGCTTTTCAATGAGGAAGGTCTTACCAGCACGTTGTCCCCATTATGAGGGTCTCTGACCTCGGCTACTTTCTGTACTTTCATAGACACACTGCTCTTCACAGGGAGCGTTGCCCATGACCCTTGATTCTAACTCCCCTCAGTATGTCCTCTGGAAGCCATGTCCCTGATGGGACCCTCAGTTTTCAGTCTGGGCCTGGATCACAATCTTTTTGTAGCTCCTCCTCTCATAGGAGAGAGATCTGGGCACATACTTGATTCCCTTTCTCATCCTCATTATCAACCTCTTTTAAATGCCTCACCTAAGCATGCAGCAAAGGAAGAAAGACAGCAAATCACTGAAACCGCAAGGTATGTGAGGCATTAGGCTAAGTACTTTTCCCTATAATTTAAGGTAATCCTTGTAGCAACTCTGGAGATAGCTGCTATTTTTATTCCAATTTCACAAACAAAGAGATTAAGTCTTAAAGAGATTAATGATTGTGAAAGATCATAAAATGAGCTAAGATTCTCAAGCTTGTTGACTTGAGCCCAGAACCTAAGTTCATACCTGCGGCAACACTCAGTGGTGGCCCAAATGGCCCTCATCCCTCAGACCTCACCTATTTGGGGTATTTGCTAAACCAAGACCAGAGACCATTACAATTTGAGTATAGTTTGTTTTTTCAATGTTAGGGTTAGGGTTTATTTTTGAGAGAAGGGGAGAGAGATAGGGAGCAGCAAGGGAGGGGCGGAGAGAGATGGGGAGAGAGAATCCCAAGCAGGCTTTGCACTGTCAGCACAGAGCCCTGCGTAGGACTCGAACCCACAAACCATGAGATCATGACCTGAGCTAAAGTCAGATGCTTAACCCACTGAGCCACCAGGCGCCCCAGTTTTTTTTTTTTTTTTTCAGTTTTCACTTCCTTTTTATTTGAGGCAGCTTTTACCTTGTATCTTACATCCTACACTTTCTAGACTTCCTGCAAGCATTCCCCGAACCCAACCCCTTCGTGCTTAGGAATAAGACAGGTTCTTGTGTGCTTTTGGTGAGGTTTAGGGACACACCTTCTGTGTGACAGTCGCTCTCCCAAAGACAGAACACTTCTCTTGTTCTACAGGCCCTCTCCTCCAACAAGATTCATCCATACCTATTTTTTGAGCACCTGCTAACCTCAAGGTAGTTTTAGGCACCAGAAGTACAGTGGTGAACAGCACAGGCAGACCCTGCCCTCCTGAAGCAACATTCCGCGGCCGGAGAGCCACCCTTCCCATGCTGTCTGGCAAATCCCATGTTCTCCTGCTTTCTAGGCAGAACGTCATGTTCCTCCAGTGATTCTCCACTTAAATTCAGTATCTGACAGAACTGCCTTACAATACTTCTGCGCGATCGCCCTCTTCACTCGTGGGTCCTACAGCCACACCTGGCACAACATGCAGGAGCATGATGCTCTTGTTCTTGGGCCAAGAGAAAGGAAATGAATATTTGTGAGCACCCACACTATGCGCTGGTCTTATAATGCATTGTCTTGTTTAATCATCACAAAAGCATAAGAAGGCAAAGATTATTTCAGATGAAATAGCTGAAGATGCTAGAGGTCAAGTCACAGAGCCTGAAAGGGTGGAGGTGGAGGTATGATGCCGACTGTAGAGCCCGCTGACCCCTTGTTTTCCTGGAGGTCAGCCTCAGGGAAGTGCTGGGGACTCTCCAGGAGGTGGGTCACAGCAATGACTGAACCCAAACCCACTGCCTCGCATCCCCTCCACCACCAGACTGTTCACACTGCTTCAGGGGGCAGCCCCACAGCTCACACTTCTACCCTGTGGTTCACTCCTGGATTCTTAGACGGTTCTCATCTTCGAGCAGTCTCTACTGACTGGCAGGCAGATGCTGTGTGAATGGACACCCATGTCAAGGGAGAAGGGAGCTGAGCTGAGGGGGAGATGGATTCCAGAGGCAAGCCTTCCTTCTTCCACAGTTGACCTGGGCTGCTGACTCTAGCCAGTTAGGGAGGCATGGGGATCCGTCTCTTGAATCTCTCTCCCCGGCTACCTGGCTGGGATCGGGCATCTGTGAGAAACAGATCTAAGCCTGCACAGTACATGGAACATACATCAAAGCATCGTGACGTTATGGACTTTTCCTTGTTAAACATGAAGTCTCTGTACGTCACAGTTCTCTAGGGAGCTAGACTCAGCTTGGAGAGGTCCAACTTGTTTCATCCAACTCAGAAACAAGGGCTTCATGCACCTAATTTTTTAAATTTTGTTTTTTAAAAAAGCTTATTTTGTCTATAATAAATATAAGGAAATTATTTAACAAAAATCCAGACACTGAACTTTCTAAAAATACATTTCTAAGTTACTGTAACATTTTAGGTGCTTAGTGGCTCTCCTATAATGCCTTATTTCATAGGGCCTATTTATTTTGAGCAAACGTACTCTGAGTTCCTTGAGTCATGAGTTCGGTGCTAGTTGACCCATTGTCGGTCCTAGAAAAGTATCTGTGCTTGTGTTTGCGGGTTTTTGAGGTAAATCAAGGGATGATATCAACTGTGAGTCACTCAGAGGATTTCACATCCACAGAAGGCCTAAGGGCTATATAAGTAGGGACATTTGAGGAACTTTGCATTGAGGAGGAACAGGGTAGCTTGGGGTGCACCGTGCAGAGGCTGAGAATGAAGTTTCCGCTGTTGATGCTGGTCCTTCCGGTTGCTGCTTCTGGAGCTGCTTCCCGGACTAACTCCACAGGCTTTGAGGAGAATGACATGCTCTTTGCTGAAGTAAGTACTGACCCGTCAGTATTTCCCCAGCCTCACTTTTGACTTTAAGATTGATTGCATTGACCAGTTTTCTCTTGAAACCGTACTAGTTGAAAACTGGTTTAGGACGCTCTTTGCTCTGAACGCTCTGTTTTTCTTTGCCAAAGATGAATGTAGGAAAAGTACTGGGTTTGAAAGAGTTCTAGAAAATTGGGGGATGACTTTATTCCTTTTACTAAAAAGCTGTGGCCAAGGAGTTTGAGTTAAAAATAACTAGAGTCCTACATCTAGTCTGTGTTTCGCAATGATCATTTAATGTGAATTAATAATCTGAGATTTGAACAATGGCTTGGTTATTTAACCACTGCAGCCCACCACGATCATTCAAGAGTACTTTTTGCCTTCAGGCATCAGAGGTATTTCTTAATGAGCAGTTTTAAAAAGCAGAATGTTTTTTCCATTTGTCTCTTTTCCCTAATTATAGGAGTTTGGATGCTCTCTCTATTTTCTAAGACTTTTAATTTTGAATTTGCATTAATTGTCCATTGTGTTGAGCTTTGGATTTTTAAGCAGGAAAATTTTACCCAAATTAAATTAACAATTTAAGCATCCTGACAATGAAGATTTTGCTGTTAACTTGATGCTCTGATGTGCCAGATGCTGAAATATATTTTAAAGAATAGAAACCAATTCAAAGAGAGACACCGAAGTGTTTTCAGTGGGCTACCAGCAATCAATATCAGTAATAGTTATGACTCACTTTGACAGCACAGAAAATTAGTATTTTTTCTCATTATAATTAATTGTTTGATACCTGGCTCAGAAGCCAGTGTATTGTTGAGTCCTATATACAGAGGTGCATCAGAAACCTTTCCATGTATTAGAATGTCTAACTAAATATATTTTTTCCAGAGGTACCTGGAAACCTATTATGGTTTCATGATGGATGAAAATCCAATGACAAAAATGAAAGTCAGTACAAACTTGATGAAGAATAAAATTCAGGAAATGCAGCAGTTCTTGGGGCTAAAAGTGACTGGGAGACTGGATGCCTCTACCCTGGACATGATGCACGTGCCCCGATGTGGGGTGCCTGATGTTCATGAGTTCAGGACGCTGTCAGGGAGGCCAGTGTGGAAGAAACGCTTTCTCACCTACAGGTAACCTGTGGCTAGTTTTCTACTTTCCCTTGGGTCTGACTTCCAGAAACCTGAACCATTTAGATCTCTGAAAGTAGATCAGAAGCCTCTCGGTTGTTAACACCATCCCTGTGTTAAAATTCATTCTTTCTGGAAGAGCAGATTGTTCACTCAAGGAGGGGCTGTTTGGCTTGCCAACCCAGAGCAGAGTAGAAAGACTTCAAATAAAAGGAGAACGAAGCTAAATCTATAATAAATAGATTATTTTTAAGAGACAGGAGAATATTTTATAGGAAGGTAAAGATGGATAAATGCCAAGGTCTGGGAGCAGGGGCAAAAGCCAGAGGCTTCTATGGATGTAAGTCCTTCACAAAGAAAATCCATAAATCATCAAGGAGAAGAAATCCAGCAAGATTCCATTTCAGGAGAAAGCTGTCCAAGCATCCCTGTTTCAGAAGTTAATGATGTGGGGTTTTGTTATCCAAGTATTGATTTATGAGGTGATTCATTCTCCACCAATGCAGACAGAAGTGAAATATGACAATAAGAACTAACACATGGTTTCCATATATTTCTCTCTCTCTTTCTTTCTGGTAAAGAATCAATAATTACACTCCTGACATGAAGCCTGCAGATGTTGACTATGCCATCCAGAAAGCTTTTCAAGTATGGAGTGATGTGACCCCCCTGAAATTCAGGAAAATTCACTCAGGAGAGGCTGACATTATGATACAATTTGCATCTGGAGGTAAAGAACGTGGACTTATTTCGTCTGTGTCATTGGCACCACCTATAATCTGTAAAGAAGGACTAATTGTCTTTATTCTTAAAAAAGCTCATGGAGACTTCAATCCTTTCGACGGCAGAGGGGGAGTCATAGCCCATGCTTTTGGACCCGGACCTGGTATTGGGGGAGACACACATTTTGATGAGGCTGAAATCTGGACTCCAGACTACAGAGGTAGGCAAAAATAAAAGCTCATCCAGAGTGTGAACTCGGGAACCCAAAAAGCCATAGTTTGGAAAAATAAAATCTGTTATTTAGGCAGTCACTTCTTGACAGCACAGTCCATAAAATCAAGTGAACGCAGATGCTAACCCAGGCATGCAGCAATCGTAGTGTGCGTCATCCACGTGAGCCTTCCATATGCTGACGTTGTCTTAGGCTTATAGTGCCACAGAAAGATGAAGTTCTAGAATAGAAAATTAGAAATCCCTGCAGCAAAACCCAAGGTTATATGGTCACATAGTCTTTTGAGGTCCTGGGATAGAAATTTCAGGGTGCCCAAGCTGACCCTTGAACAAAGCAATACTTTGTGTGTATTTATGGAAGAGACTGTAAGTCACCATCCCTCTCAGGCAGCTGGGGGAGAGGCACAACTAGTCTCCCCTGTTTGAAGGACTCACTATCCATTGGAAAACTCAAGCTGTCATCTCACAATCCTTCCTTATCTTTCTGTGGGAAGTTCTAGATTATGTGCTTCACTCCTGAGGGAAGGACATGGAGAGAAGGTCTTCGTGAGTGGGTTCCTCTCAGCAGCCCCCTCTCTCTGGCTGATACCACATGCATCGAATGGCAATGTTCTTACAGACTGAAAGGCTATCTGTTTTAGTCTAACACATGGCCCCAGGCTTATTAAATTCTTAATCAAGAAGAGGAGTCTTGCACTATCAAAAGACAAGTGATGTAGGAATAAGTCCTTCTTGAGTGGCAAACCCTCAGGAGGCTTGTTACATTTGTCTAAATTGCATCCAAGGTTATTTGGGGTGTATAATGTTTTCATCAGACGTGGTAGACTTGGGTTGGTTAGCCTCATAGAACGTTTCAGAATTCTAAAAGACTCTAGAAAAATAATTTAAGATCTTTACGGAGAGAGGAAACTGAGACCAGGAGAAAGTTAGCTTATGAGAAAGCTCTTCTCTTAACCAAATGTGTACTTTTCACCTGTCCATGTTGCCTTATTTTTATGTGGCACAATTCTATGCTTTCATAACACTAGATTATTTATATAAATTGTAATTTAAGGTGCCCACTCACAGCCCACGTTTGTGACACAGTAAATGCAATGAACGATTTGCTCAGTGGTTACTGAGTTTTTATGACAGTGTTAGGTGATGGGGGTGTTGTTTGGATACAGAGAAGAAAAGGACCTGTCCTGAAAGAGCACACGATCAGGTGTGAAACAGAGCACAGACAGAAACCTGGGATTTCTGTGGTGGAGGACCAGTGATGGGCTTTTGTGTAAAATATTACAGGGATTGAGAATAGGATAAATTTAGGATTTTCCCAGTTTTAGGCAGAATGGATAGGATGACAGTCTTTGCTAATTTCTCATTATTTGAGAGAAGTGAGTGAGTTAGTTGCTGAGCCTGATGTTAGTGGGAATGCTTAGGGGGTCTGTGTTCCTGAAGACCCCTCCCCCCCAGAGGAGTGTCATCTCAGTTCTCACACCTGGGTACTGGCCACACCCTGCAGCTAAGTGGTGTGTGACTCCGGGCAAGTCTGTTTTTCTGAGCTTCAGGTTTGCCATCGAAAAAAAAAAAGGCAAAAATGAAGGCTTTGGAGTAGAACATAGATAAAAAAAAAATAACAGGAGCTATTCAAACCTTCTGAAAACTGAGAAACTTTAGGGAAAGGACACACCCTTCTCTCTTACCTACAAAGGTATATTTCTCTAGAACATACAGAAAAAAATGAACAGGTGTGACTGTAACTTGATATCACTGTGTCTACATTGTAAGCATAGACTTTGATTTCATTTTGAGTCATGTATAGTAAAAGAATGAGCTTTTTTTTAATTTTTAAAAAATTTTTTAATTAAAAAAATTTTTTTAATAGTTTATTGTCAACTTGGTTTCCATATAACACCCAGCGCTCATCCTCACAAGTGCCCTCTTTTGAGCCAAGAAATTTATATTTGACCCTTGGTTTAAGCACTTAATTTGGCCCATTAATCTTGCTGATACTGTGTCCTCATCTGTAAATAGGCTGCATAGTGGCTTCCTTTCAAGTTTCGTAAGGAACAGACATGGTGTGATACATTTTCAGTGGCTCAGAGGACCTGGAACTTAATTTGGCTTCATATTTGGGTTTAATAAGGGATAGTTAGTAAAGACTGTTCCATATCCAGTGGAGCCTGATTAAGTGTACCTGCAGAATGGAGTGAGAGTGTCGTAGAAGCGATGACAACCAACAAACATAGCTACAAGACAACATTATTCTAGAAATGTTCACAACAGAATATATGTCATGTGTGCTGCTGCTGCTGCTGCTGCTATGAACCTTTTTGCCCTCAACGGGAAATTTGACAATGTGTGGAGACATTTTTCGTTGTCAAAGTGCAGGGAGTTTGCTACTTGAATTTAAGTGGCAAAGCTAGGGGCACCTGGGTGGCTCAGTCAGTTAAGTATCTGACTTTGGCTCAGGTCATGATCTCGCAGTTTATGGGTTTGAGCTCTGTAAGGGGCTTTCTGTTGTCAGCATAGAACCTGCTTCAGATATTCTGTCCCCCTCTCTCTGCCTCTCCCCAGCCTACGCTTTCTCTCTCTCTCTCTCTCAAAAATGAATAAACGTTTAAAAAAAGAATTTTAAGTGGCAAACCCAGAGATTTTTAGACATCTGTGATGCACAGGAAAGCCTTAACAACAAGGAATTACCTGGCCTATAATGTCAATAGTGCTGACATTGAAAAACCTTATGGAGGAGGGAAAGGGAATAAGTAAAGGATTCCTAAATGCATCCCCTTGCACTGATTTCAATTGTGTCATTGTCCTCTGGATGCAAATGTATTTCATTGCTCTTTTCCCCACTCTGGTTGATTTCCTCTTAGGCACAAACTTGTTCCTAGTTGCTGTTCATGAGCTTGGCCATTCCTTGGGTCTTGACCATTCCAGTGATCCAAAAGCCATAATGTTCCCTACTTACAGTTATGTTGACCCCAACACCTTTCACCTCTCTGCTGATGACGTACGTGGCATTCAGTCTCTCTATGGTGAGTTGAATTTCTTTACCATTTTCCCTTACAAAGAAACCCTTATGAAAAGCCTCATAATATCTGCATTTGAATAAAACTTTAACATGATCTTCTCTCTTGAGCCCCATGAAAATCCTGTGAGGTAGGTGTCCCAGATATTATCTTCATCTTATGGAAAAGCACAGAGACCTGGCATACTGATGCCAGTGACAGAGAAAGATTCTGAGTCTGCTGGCCTCAAATTTGTTCTTTCTATCCAACATACCATTGTCTTTGAAGAAGGCAGATAGAGAAATAATCTGACTGGAACAGGAAAATGAGAGTGATCAGATGTTTCTCCTCCATGATGGTGCAACCACACAAGAGAAAGATCTTTATTGTATGCATCCGTTGAATGTTAGGGGAAGCATAAGTTCCTTTTTATGCATTTTTCACCCAGAAAAGTGAATGTTTGAAAAGAATGATTCTTCATTCTTTAGCAGCTAAAATGCAGGGTTTCTTTCCCCTAATGCTTCTTAAAATGTATTTTTCAGGAGGTCCAGAAAAGCACCAATCCCCATCAAATCCTGATGGTACAGAATCATCCACCTGCAATCTGAGTCTTGATGCTGTCACAACTGTGGGAAATAAAATCATTTTCTTTAAAGACAGGTAGAATCTTCACATCTTACCAATATGGAAGTGTCTGTCCTTGGATTTATACTTTTCTTTTTGTCAGAGAATGGTGGAAAATGATGTAGATGAAAATGAGGAGGGACCTGGACTCAATTCTGAAGGAAGTAGACAGCCTAAAGGTTTTGAAGGAAGAGAATGGTGTGATTATATCTGTGTTTAATGATAAGATTGGAAAGTAAAAAAATGGATTTGCAGTAGGAATCTGGGGTGAGGAAAGACAAGACAGGAAGAAGTGACACAAGACTGTTTTACCCACAGATAAAAATGGTTAAGTCTGGGACTACAGGTATGACTATACCTGTTTAAAAGTCTTGATTCTTGATTATAGAGAAAGGAATTCCAGGATAACTTAAGGGTTTCTGCCTTAGAGCATAGAGTGAAGCAGATATTGGAGGGATGGGGAGTGGAGAAAATTAGAAGTTGGTAGATGGGAAAAATATTCTCCATTTTTAAAATTGAAGAGTGATTGACATACAATATTGTATTAGTTTCAGGTGTACAACACGGTAATTTGATATTTATATATATTACCAAAGGTCACTAGAATAAGTCTAGTCATCATCTGTCACCATTTAAAGTTATTACAACATTATTGACTATATTCCTTATGCTGTACATTACATGTCTGTGTCTTACTTGTTTCATAACCAAAGTGTCTACATCTTACTCCCCTCTACCTATTTTGTCTATCTCTGACTAACTCCCCTCTGAAAACCATCAGTTAGTATCTATGAGTCTGCTTCTGTTTTGTTTGTTCAATTGTTTTTTGTTGTTTTTTAGACTCCACATATAAATGAAACCATAGGATATTTCTTTCTCTGCATGATTTATCTCACTTAGCATAATATGCTCTAGGTCCACCCATGTTGTCACTAATGGCAAGATTTCATTCCTTTTTTATGGCTAATATTCCATTGCATATATACCACATATTCTTTATCCATTCATCTATCAATGGACATTTAAGTTGCTTCTGTACCTTGGCTATTGTGAACAATGCTGCAAGGAATGTAAGGGTACATATGTCTTTTCTAATTAGTGTTTTGTGCACTTTGGATAAATACTTAGAGGTGGAATTCCTGGAACATATGGTATTTCTATAATTAACTCTGTGGAGAGGCTCCATACTATTTTCCAGAGTAGTTGCACCAGTTTGCATTCCCACCAACAGTGCTTGAGGGTTTCCTTTTCTCTACATCTTCACCACCACTTGTTATTTCTTGTCTTTTTGATAATAGCCATTCTGATGGGAGTAAGGTGATAGCTCTGTGTGGTTTTATTTGCATTTACTGATAGTTAGTGATGTTGAGCATTTTTTTCGTGTATCTGTTAGTTGTCTGTAAGTCTTCTCTGGAAACAGATCTTTGCCTTTCCTCTATTTTTTTTTTATCAGATTATTTGATTTTTTTAAAAATATCAAATTGTTCGTGGGTTCGAGCCCCGCGTCGGGCTCTGTGCTGACTGCCAGCTCAGAGCCTGGAGCCTGTTTCAGTCTGTGACTCCCTCTCTCTCTGACCCTCCCCTGCTCACACTCTCTTTCTATCTCTCCTAGAAATTAAAAAAAAATCCAATTGTATGAGTTCTTTATATATTTTGGATGTTAACCTTTTTATTGGATATATATCTCTTGCAAAAATCTCCCATTAAATGGTTTGCCTTTTCATTTTGTTGGTAGTTTCCTTCACTATACAAAAGCTTCCTAGTTTGATGTAGTCCCACTTGTTTATTTTTGCTTTTGTTGTCGTCTGAGGGGACAGATTTGAAAAAAATCTCTGAAGCCAATGTCAAAGAGCTCACTGCCTATGTTTTCTTCTAGGTTCTTTCAGGTTCTACAGTTAAGTCTTTAATCCATTTTTAGTTTATTTCTGTATGTGGTGTAAGAAAGTGGTCTAGTTTTATTCTTTTGCATGTAGGTATCCAGTTTTCCCAGCACCTTTTGCTGAAGAGACTGTCCTTTCCCTGTTGTATGTTCTCAGCTCCTTTGTCATAAATTAATTGACCATATAAGTGTGGGTTTATTTCTGGGCTCTATATTCTGTTTATTGATTGCTGTGACTGTAGTTATCCTAATACCATACTATTTTGATTAATTATGCCCTGTAGGGTAGAAATCTGGGGCATCTTCCCTCTAGCTTTGCTCTTCTTTAAGTTTGCTTTGGCTATTTGGGATCTTTTGTGGTTCCATACAGATTTTAAAGTTCTTTGTTCTAGTTCTCTGAAAAATGATATTACTATTTTGATAGTGTTTGCACTGAATCTGTACATTGCTTTGGAAATTTTAACAATATTTCTTCTTGGAATCCATGAGCATGAAATAGATTTCCATTTATTTGTGTCATCACCAATTCTTTCATTAGTGTCTTATGGTTTGCAGAGTATAGGTCTTTCACTTCCTTGACAAAATTTATTCCTAAGTACTTTATTCTTTGTGATACAATTATAAATGGGAAGATACTATTAATTTCTTCTGATAGCTTGTTATTAATGTACAAAAACACAATAGATTTCTGTATATTGATTTTATATCCTGAATCTTTATTAGATTCATTTATTAGTTCTACTAGTTTTTTGGTGGTCTCTTTAGGGTTTTCTATATATAGTATCAAGTCATCTGCAAATAGTGACAGATTTATCTCTTCCTTTACAATTTGGATTTCCCCCCTTTTTTTTCTTGCCTAATTTCTGTGACTAGGACTTCCAGTAAGAGTGAGCTTCCTTGTCTTGTTCCTGATGATAAAGAAAAAACTTTCCGTTTTCACCATTGAAATAGCTATAATGTTATTATAGCTATAGCTATAGTTAACCATAGCTATAATGTTAGCTATGTGTTTGCCATGCATGGACTTTCTTATGCTGAGGTATATTTCCTCTATAATCATTTTGAGAGTTTTTATCATGAATTAATGTTAAATTTTATCCAATTACTTTTCTGCAGCTATTGAAATGATCATATGATTTTTATCCTTCATTTTGTTAATGTGATGTATTGCAATGATTTGTGGATATTGAACCATCTTTGCATCCCTGGAATAAATCCTACTTGATGAAGGTGTATGATCCTTTTGATGTATTGTTGAATTTGGTTTGCTAATATTTTGTTCAGAATTTTTACATCTATATTCATCAGGAATATTGACCTGTAATTTTTTTTTTTTTGTAGTGAATTTGTCTGATTTTGGTATCAGAATAATGCTGGCCTCATAGAATGAGTGTGGGAGTATTCTTTCCCTTCCATTTTTTTTTTTTTAATAATTTGAGAAGGGTAGGTATTAAGTCTTCTTTAATTGTTTGGCAGGATTCACCTGTGAAGCTGCCTGATACTGGATTTTTGTTTGTTGAGAGCTTTTAATTAATCAGTTTCATTTCTAGTAATGAGTCTGTTCAAATTTTCTATTTCTTCCTGATTCAGTCTTGGAAGATGGTATGTGCCTGACAAGTTATATCCATTTCTTTTCGTTGTCCAATTTGTTCATATATAATTGTTAATAGTAGTCTTTTTTGATCATTTATATTTCTGTGAAATCCATTGTAACTTCTCTTTCATTTCTGAATTTATTTATGTGAGTTGTCGTCGTCGTCTTCTTCTTCTTCTTCTCCTCCTTCTCCTTCTTCTCCTTCTTCTCCTTCTTCTCCTTCTTCTCCTTCTCCTTCTCCTTCTTGATGAATCTGGATATAGGCTTACCAATTTTGCTTATCTTTTGACAGACCAAGCTCTTAGTTTCATTGATCTTGTAATTTTTTTTTTAGTCTTTATTTCATGTATTTCCACTCTGATATTTATTATTTCCTTCCTTTAACTAATTTGGGGCTCTGCTTGTTCTTTTTCTAGTTCATTCAGGTGTAAAGTTAGATTGCTTATTTGAGATATCTCTGGTTTTTTTGAGGTAGGCCTGTGTCGCTGTAAACCTCCCTCTTAGAACTACTTTTGCTGCTTCTTCAAGATTTTTAGACTGTTCTGTTTTCAATTGTGTTTGTCTCAAGGCAATTTTTAATTACTTTTTTGATCTCTTCATTTCTTCATTGGTTGGTTAGTAGCATTTTATTCAGTCTCCACATATTTGTGTTTGTGTTTTTTTTCCCAGTTTTCTTCTTGTAAATGATTTCCAGTTTCATTATTCTCCATTTTTGAGATCCAAAACTGAGACATTTAGGATGAATAACTTCTTTTAGATTACAAAACTGGTGAATGGATTGTGCATGCAGACTAAAACCTAGACCCCTTTATTTTTATCAAAGGTTCCATATGGTGGTTTGCCCATTAAGGTCAGTGTTATTATGAAAGACTTGATTAAGGTCCTTTCCTCATGCTCCTAGAGAGACATTTCACGGAACAGAATGTGAGGATATTGAAAAACAACATAGTCATTTTACAGGTCCATCCCACTGCACATTTCATGGTTCTTGAATCTACAGTGATTTTTAAAACATGTTTTAAATGTTTTTCATCAGATTCTTTGGGTGGAGGAATCCTGAGAGTCCAAAGAGCAATATTAGTTTAATTTCTTCTTTGTGGCCAACTTTACCATCTGGCATTCAAGCTGCTTATGAAATTGGAGACAGAAATCAAGTTTTTCTTTTTAAAGGTAACTCTCATGTTTAGTTTGCTATTGAGTGTACTTCAAGGAAGAGAATAAATGAAGGAAATACTACTAATTTTTATAAACATAGAAAAAAGCACTCCAGATTTGATTAATTGTGAGTCTGAACTATGAGCTAAAATGAGCTTAGATGCCTAGGTAATGTCTAAAAATTGCAGGAAAAGTTCGTGAAATATAGATCATAATACTTGTAAAAAATATACAAAATGGAGACAAATCATGTTCAAGGACAAAGAGCAATATGTTTTGGAACTATGGGTAAAGAATGACATTGTTTGTAGTGAGTCAGGGTTTCTGTTATTCTTCTTGTGTGATTCCAATGTATCCTTTTTCTTTATTTTCACAGATGATAAGTACTGGTTAATTAACAATTTAAAACCACAGCGACTCTATCCCAAGAGTATACATTCTTTGGGCTTTCCTGACTTTGTGAAAAAAATTGATGCAGCTGTGTTTAATCCACTTTTCTATAAGACCTACTTCTTTGTAGGTAATCAGTATTGGAGGTGAGATTTAGTGATTGGTTATTTGACTCCAAAAATTTGTGAAATGGGCAGGCAGTTGGGTTTTCCGGTAGGTAGTTTTCCTATTTAAATTCTTAAGGATCCTTGACCTTTGTAGGAGAGAGATCAAGAGAACATAGGTCTGGAATAGTTATTATCATCCTAGGTCAGTTCTCTGGACTTTCGAACTCTGATTTGTAAAACGGCACATAATGTGTTTCTTTTAAAAGGAACACTTTTAATAAAATGTTGCATTATTAATCATAGTGGGAACCCTATGGTATAGTGAGAAATAGTGGTATAAGTGTATGAGACCGAGTGTTTACCCAGTCTCTTTAGAGAGTATACATATTTTCATATTCCTTTTCATAACCTTTGACCCAAGAAGACAAAATCAGAAGCCATCTTGGGAGTGACAGCAAATCCTGCAAGGTCTTCACTAACAGGAATTTAGACAGTCCAGCTCTATACAGTAGGACCATATACAGCAGGACCAGGCCCGGGCAGAAGCGTTGTGCAGGAGGGAGGGGTGTTCCCGACAGAAATGGGGAATCCTAAGGTCTGAGTCCTGGAGGGACTTGGGATAAATCAGTGAACTGCTTAGGTCCTTGATCCTCTCATCAGTGCAGTTTAAACCTTTTCAGAAAAAGCCTTTCAAGAGAGAATGGGTGGGGTTTGTGGTTCATGTTATAAAATATCCAGGTCGACATCATTAAACCCATTTTATGATGGAGGTCCTACTCATTATTTTTTTGTTCAGGTACAATGAAAGGAAACAGTTCATGGACCCTGGTTATCCCAAATTGATTACCAAAAGCTTTCCAGGAATTGGGCCTAAAATCGATGCAGTCTACTATAGTAACAGTAAGTAGATTAGTAAGCCATGAAGATACTGGGAATCCTTTTTTAAAACATTGAAGATTATAAGGGCTCCAAGGTCAGAGAATGGGGAATCAAATCAGAAAAGTACAGAACCCTGCATTTCTCCATAGGGCCACAGACAGAAGATTCATCGTCTGCCTGGTTTAGAATAGGTAGGCGTGAAGAATGAGTGAGCTGGAACAATTTATTTCTAGGGTAGTCTAGAAGGTGGGAGCATATGGTTGTTGCCACTTCTGTATGTCTGAGTCTCTGGAATTTCTGTTCCCATCAAGCTGCACAGTGTATGCAAATGAGCACAGGGCAAGGCTCAGGCAAGCTGGACTCACATACTCATTTGTGTCCTGCATTTCTTACCTTCCTGGCAGCCCCTTACCCTCTTTGTGGGCTTGCATGGACCAGAGCCAAGGGGTGATAAGAAAAGCCTGAGTTTGTTTGAGTTTGTGTTGAGGAATATCTTCAGGCAAGGTCATCCTGAGCAAATTGTTGGCTGGGCCAAGGCCTTTGTTTTCAATGTCAACACCCCTGTCTTTCTCCCTTCTCTATCTGGGCTTCTGTGTGCCCTAGCTGGGCCCAATTTCTTTCCTCTCTGAGCCCTCCACCTGGAGTGTGACTTTTCAAACACTCAATCTTAATAGTCAGTTTTGAAGATCAAGCAATCTTCTCAATAAAATTACTGAAGGTATTTAATGATAAAGTGATGATAAACAGGTATTTAGGAGCAGGGTACCCAGTGCAGGGGCCCAACATTTATATTCTCAAATGTCTAATAAAAATAATCTATAAAATCTGGTCTAATATAAGTACTCCATAAAAACACAGATCGGTGTTACCTTTAAAAAAAAAAAAAGAGAGAGAAATGCAAGTGAGGATTTAAGCTATTCAATTTGTTTTCATTTTCAGGACACTACTCTTTCTTCCAAGGACCTGATGTGGCTGAATATGATGTCCTATCCCATCGTGTTACCAAAAGGCTAAAACACAGTATGAAGTTAGGTTGTTAGGAATGGTGTAATTAGTGATGTTTGTCAATTTACTTAAGTGAGAATGTATTGCCTACTTTCTCTGTGTCCAGTGTCCCATTACATGGTGATGCATTTCATAAAATAAGGTGAAGTCTATAGGCCAGAGATAAATTATCATACAAGTAAATGATCAAATTATGTAAGATTTTTTGATTTTGAAAACCCTCATTGTCAAGTTTTACTTGATTCAACTATTAAGCTTGAAAATAGACACTTTCAGAAAGGGGCAATAGAATAGCTTGGTCCTTGAACTTCCAAGAACTGAGACATTATCATTATTTCTTTTCCTTAACTAGTATTAAGAAATGACTTGTTTCTGTGACCCTTAAATGTTTCAACAAGTATATTATTCTAATTCTTTTGGAATAAAAACAGAATACTACCAGAAAATGACAATTAATATAAGGTAACATATAAGTAAATTATATAATTATGGTGATAATGTTATTTTATTCTGTTGTCAGTGTTGACTTTTCTAAATTTTATATGAAGTATATATATATATTTTTTTTCTTTTACTCAAATAAAAACTATGAAAGAAAGTATTTGGTTTCTGGGAATTTTTCCCTGAAAAAGTGTGTATTTTGAAAATAGTTCTCCTGCTCCTAAAAAGAGCCTCTACCGACTGTACCAAGGTGTGAATGGGAATATGGCAAATGGGAGAGGTTGTATTTGCCTTGGCCACTTGTCTAAGGCCACCTAAATCCCCAGTGTCAAGGCAAGCAAGCATTCTTCAGACTGCATATGACCCCAAGGGGCACGCCGAGTGCATGACCATGAGCTTGGAGGGAAAAGGTGTCATGGGAACTTCCTGGTCTCATAGAATTCCCACTGCAGCTCAAGTCTCACAATGTGGGCCTTGTAACTGCTGTGTGACCTTGACAAGACATTACATCTAAGCCTCCCTAAATTTTGTAAAAAGCATTAGAAAGTATTACTTTCGTTCAGAGATTTTATTGATTGAGAAAACAAAATATGTGATGAGCGCATCGCACTGGTAGCTCGGACTGCCTTGTATCAATTTTGTTCACTGTCATGACACACATTTTCCCTACTTTCTGGTTTGTAGGTATACATGTTAAAGCTCCAATTTATACCATATGGGTTTCTGGAATGCTTGTAGCTTTCAATTTATTTGCAGACCATTGCTGCTGATGCCCTCAAGACACAAGCAATAGTCAACCCCATCTCAGCTCAGATGACCCGTTTTGATTAGTGGGATGAACTGAGGTCAGAATATAGGAGCAGAAAGATTCTAGATGGGGGTGGAGTTCTCTGTCCTTCATAGCTTAGATCTATTCTCTAGTAGGTGCTTTTTCAGTATAATGATCCTAGCATTGTCTTTGCAAGGCATACGGTCAAGTCTTTCTGAGAAGAAATGTTATTTCCCCACAGCCAACTACGTGCTGGACATCTTTCAAAAGAAGAGACTTCCCTGCAGGATTAACATCAAAAGAGAACAGTGGTATCTGGGCTGAATTGTCTTCGGCCTTAGGTAATTTTGGAGCAGCTGTTTCTCTTAACTGATGAGTACACTGGCGTAAAAGCCAACAGTATGCCCTTCCCGGTCTCAGAGGCACTCATGAGAAATGCCTCCACGGATTTACAGGTGAACCCTTCCTCCCTCTACCTCCTTTGGCGCTGCATCTTTCAATTTTGTTTAACAAATCCTTTCAATGGGAGCCATGTGCCAGGCACTGTTCTAAGTGATGCACGGCGTGCGCGCGCGCGCACACACACACACACACACACACACACACACACACACCTCACTGGTCCATTACAAGCTCGAGGCAAATGCTGTCTTTCTCTTTTTTTGATGAGAAAACCAAGGCACTGAGAGGTAAACACACTTGCTCAAGGCTACACAGCCTTGGAGCTGAAATTCGAAGCCAGTCAGTTTGACTCTAGAATCTATGTTAGTAACCACCACAAAATCCTGCTTTTCAAAATCATTAAGTGGAGAAAATCAAAGTAAACACTCCGTACCACTTTGTACTTTCACTTGACTTATCAGTTAAAAGGTCTTTAATATGTCATAAGAATTCTTCGTGTGTCCAGCCCAGGGAATGTCATTTTGCCTTGGAAAATGTAGTAGTGTTATCTGGCTAATTTCAGGGAGCAAACATCCACAACTTGGAAATTACAGTGTCTTAACAATGGAGAGCTGCACATGGTCTAATGGGTCCTCTGGAGAAGAGCTTTATTAAGTTTGAAGTTGTTGTACAGTGAAAGGACCCTCTGAAGTACATCATCTGCTAGGCAGCAAGAAGTAAAATTGTGGCTTGTCTCTTGACCAGCTGTGAAAATCCTGGAAAGCAGAGATGTCAGCAGTGAATCATGGTACAAAGTCCATCATATTGATAAGTTAGGAAGTTTGTGCTGTGATTCACTGTCTGATCTGAAGCAAGTTAATTGACCTCTCTGAGTCTCAGAAAACCATAGATGTCTGGTAGGTCTGTTCTGAGGATTACTGTGGGTGAAGCTGCTGGCACTTCATAGTTCCTCACCGCAAGCTTGTTTCTTCCCATCCCAGCTCCTCTGACCCAGGATTCCCCAGGCTCGCTGTTCCCTCCCCCACAGGTATGTTCACACTCAACAATCTCTCAGACTTTCAGGGAAGGCACGGAGCGCACAGGGCACCTCTTCCGTTTTCCCCATGTTTCCTTCATTCACAGTTACTAATGACCATTCAAAGTTAGAAATATAGTCAGCTAATTTGTTGCAGTCACTCTAGATCTCCAATCTTTATGAATAATAATATTTATTATATGGTTAGGAGTTGATATATATTTTCTGTCATAGATCAAGCTTATAGGACAGATTTTTATTGCCATTTCTAGAATGAGAATGAAGAGGCATAGAGAGGGTAGCAGTCTGTTTGATGTCACAGATGAGTAGGTACCAGACTAAGACTGGAATGGAGAGCTCTTCAACCCTAAACTCATGCTGTTTTTACTACGGCACTCCCCTTCTTTTGGCTGATAATTTTTCAACTACCAAAGAGCATGCTCCAATATTGTTTGGCCCTGTTACTAATGGCAAGATAAAATAGTCAATAAGTTATGGTCCAAACCACAAACTCTGCTTTCATGCTTTTTTGGAGCATTCAAGTTAGCAATAAAATATCCTAAGGGCAATGTGAATATAAGTGAGGTTTGAAGAGAGGTTTTTCCACTTGAGCTCTGAATTCATGACTTAGAACAGCATGTTCCCATCCCGTCGCTGAATAACATATGACTTTGAAAAGAAACAAGGATTGTGAAATGTGTTTTGGGACACAAAGGTATCAAACTGGGTGTTTGTGCTCAGAACCTTATTATTGAATTGTTTGACAAGCACTTGGGAATTCAGAGCCAGCAGGATTTTGCTAACTTTTTCAGAAACTGGACTATTGACTAACCTTGGTGAGTGAGGAGGCTTTGTGGATTTCTGAATCTCAGTGATGCATAGTGACTGCTCACAGATATGTGTCCTAACTGGGTCACATCTGGGCAGCATGAGTGAAGGAAACGGGCAGGAAAGCCTGGACTTGAGAAGAGGAGATGGAAGTCAGGGGTCTGAAATTGACGAGAGCTAGCTGCCCCCCAAACTGAAGACTGATTATCAGACATACACCAGATTAAGAGACACGGAGAGATTCAGTTCTCAAGAATGTGAAAGCTAGAGAGATAACATTTCTGGGACAGTTAAGTCCAGGCTCAGAAGGGGGTATGAAGAGATGAAATGTAGGTATTAGTCTGCAGACACTGCAAACTCATGTTTCTGTTTGTTTGGGTTTTGATTTGACAACGTTTGCATCATCTCTGCTGTTTAGTTTGTTTTTGGACTTGAGCAAGCGTTTTACCTTTCCTGAGCTCTAAGTTTTTCACCTGTGAAATGAGGGTACTGATGTTGACCTCCAGTTCAGGTATAAGGACAAGACATACTCCATGTAACATGGGGGACACACAGTAGATGATCAATGTGCAGTTTCTTCCTTCCTTAAAGAATGGTTCTGGGGGCGCCTGGGTGGCTCAGTCGGTTGAGCGTCCGACTTCAGCTCAGGTCATGATCTCACGGTTCGTGGGTTCGAGCCCCACATTGGGCTCTGTGCTGACAGCTAGTTCAGGGCCTGGGGCCTGCTTCGGATTCTGTGTCTCCCTCTCTCTGACCCTCCCCTGCTCATGCTGTCTCTCTCTCTCTCTTAAAAATAAATAAAATATTTAAAAAAAAAAAGAATGGTTCTGAATAGACATCTGTTTCACTGTATTACACATGCTGAGAAGACTCAGAGACATTTATTACCTAAAACTATATAAAATAATGTAAGTTCAGGCCCTTGATTCCATCTTTCCCGTGGTATAGTTTTAATGGAGAATACGCTGAAGCAGCAACACCAGTGAGGCTGAGTTTGCTGTGCCCTGGTAGCGATCCAACCTTCCTTCTAGCTATGACAACAATACAAAACTTCATTTTCTCATTCTTACATAATGTGACCCCTCCAAAGAAGTGTCAACGCTAACAAATCATGACTCAGAAGAAGATGAGGTGTTTCAGAGCTGTGGCCAAGCAGTGCCTGGGACCAAAGGTCCACAGGCTGGTCAGGACGATGGCCATTACTGGTTTCAGGTATTTGAGAAAAGTCTGAAGAAACCTAATCCCAAGAGTAAAGCACTTATGAATTCCAGGGATCAAGCAAAGATATGTGGATAGCAAAAGAAGAGGCCATTCAGCCAAGCATGCATTCTCAAGACTCTCGCCTCTTACAGAGGTGCATACGCCATGGCTTGGAAACTTTTCCAGTGAGAATCTGACTATACACATGGACAATGGCCAGATCCTATATAAAAATAGAACTTTGACCCACAATACAGAGCAACCTGCCAAGAAACCAATTCTCTTACCTACGATAAACAACTCAGAAGCCAGCCTACTAGTCAGACTTGCAGGAAGCCCAATTATTATCTCTAGTAATAATCCAGGAGCTAAACAATAACTTCTGTGACAATCAGTCCAAAATGGCCAGGACTTAACTGACCAGTGATGGCTTCCCTAATTTTTGTCCCTGTTTCCAACTCCAGACCAATCAGAAAAACACAAGTAATGGTGGCTGATTCCTTTATGACTGCAAGCTCTGAACAAATAACCATTTCTCATTCCCATTGGCTGGGCTTCATTTATTTCCACACCAGGCAAAGCTCTGCCAAGTCACAAAGAGAGAACTCACGCTTAGCGCCAGACCAACCGGACTCTATATTTCTCAAAAGACAAGACTCAATGCCGTGTCTTTTCTATCTGTAGTCCTTCAGGTGCTCCTTCTGGTTTGCTGGGATGATTATAATGGTCCCTAACCCTGTAGAACTCACTTTCCTTACATTCTGATCCCCCTTGGCCACTGCTACCAGATAAATGTTCTAGAACATAGTTCTGGTGCTGTCACATATC